CATTAATGAGGAAAATATCAGACAATCAAATGTGTTGTCTTTTGGAAAGTTGGTACATAATGTACATATGGCAGTCTAAATTGTGGATTTGGTGCAGATAATTGTACAGAAAAACATCAAAAACATTATTTCATTCCCACCTATCACAGCCAGTCTGGTGTTCCTTCTCAAAGTTTTCAAATTTATCCATAGACATCTCACTTCTCATGGAGACACAGATTCCTGGAGGGGCGATTTTTTCCTGGTGGTCTGGTAGAAACACACACTTTACCTTAAAATACATGTTCTTGGCAAAATAAATTTAGATGAAGGTAGAAGTCTTCCATTAAAAAATAAATACATGTGCTATTTTAGTATTTTCAGTGGTGATCCTCGTGGTAGTAAACTGATTCACTTGGTTGGTAAACATCAGAAAAGGAGAAATCTGTTTTCCTGGTCCAATGGTCATATCTAGTGTACTCTACATGTTTAATGTCAGTGAGACTTTTTACACAGATAAATAAAGGCCAAAAACTGATTGCAACTTCTACTTTGTGACATTCATGAGGGATATATGTGAAATAAAATTGGATGACAGATTAAGTACCAACAAGTCATTCATGACAATTTAAATACTGTAAATCACTTTTTGGCACCCCTCTCAAGTTTTGTAACCTGCCACATTGCTGCTGCCATAACTGGGTTTAGAACATGAGAGCACGGATGCCAGCTGCTCAGGGTAAGAGGTGGAGTACACCCTGGACATATCACCAGTCTGCCGCAGGGCTATCAGACAGACAGCCATTTACACTCACATTCACACCTATGGACAATTTAGTATCACCAAATAACCCAACCCCACTATTTGCATGTCTTTGGACTGTGGGAGGAAGCGGGAGTACCTGGAGAGAATCTTTCCTTCTCCTAACCTTACTCAGTCTTGATGAAAATCAGTTACACCTTCCAACTCAAGGTGAAAAGCAGCTGTTTGGAAGAGCTGTAGAAGTCATGCAGTGGATGTCTACAAAGGTTAATGTCTGCCTCTACTGGGACAGAGAAACTCCTGCCTGCAGAGTCTATGTGAGTCTCTGTTAGAGGCTTTGCCATTCATTAGCTCACTCAGGTATGTAGCTTTGGCTCTTGTATACTAAATAGTCTGCTTGGTTTTATCCAGTCTATTGATGGTAAAAATTAAAATCTTTCTGTTTGTGACTTTTTTTT